AATGAAATGAAGGTATCATTGTCAAATCAGGAACATCACATTTTATTCCAATACACATTTCTTTAATTCAACATACATATCTGTCACTGCTATTTGTACAGCATTATTGCGTAAGCAGAAAATAAATGGGCTCAGAACAGGGGTAACAAATATTGTTACAATACTGACTAATTTATTGAAAGACATATAATAATTTCCCTTTGGAATGACATATAAAAAAATGGTTCCACCATAACCAATGCATACAAGAAAGAGGTGAGAAATACAAGTTGAGAAGGCTTTTGTTCGCCCACTGACTGTGGGTATTTTGGAGATGGTGATTGCAATCATTATATAAGTCCAAGCTGTAATAATGAAAGATCCAAGTATTATAAAAGAAAACATTAAGAAATCCAATAATTGAAGAAAAGTGGTATCCATGCAGGCAAGTTTCATGATGGGGGAAGAATCACAAAAAAAATGATTTATCATATTAGATTTACAGAAGGGCATAGTTGATTTAATACAAGCTGGTACAAGATCAATGAGAAATCCTCCAGTCCAAGACATGCATGCAAGAAGGAAGCAGGTGTTCCAATTGATAATATTAACATAGTGAAGAGGATTGCAAATAGCTACATAGCGATCATAGGACATTACTGCTAGTAGCATAAAATCAGCTGTACCTAACGCAAAATAAAAGTAACACTGAACAAAGCAGCCCACAAAAGTTATAGTCTTTTCAAAAGACAATAACATGGCAAGGAGTTTAGGTATCACAACAGATGAAATACTAATTTCAAGGAGTGAAATATTTCCAAGAAAAAAATACATGGGTAAATGCAGTCGTAAATCACAACAATTCACTGTTATTATTAAAAGATTGCCAAAAATAATTACAATATATGCAAACAAAAACAAGTGAAAAAGGATAACTTCTAAAGCATAACTTAACGGAAATATAATAAAGATAAATTCAGTCACGTTGCTTCGATGCTGCATTTTGAAAATGTGAGATAGATTATCCAAAAAAATAAAACACAATAAAATATAAAATAGTAGTTGAAAGGTGTAAACTTAAATTATTATGTTAATGTTCCGAAAATTTTCACATAATGAAACACAAGTACAGGCATTTACAAATATTAAAGCTTTGCCTTTCCTTTTTTTTGTAAAGCAAACAAAAATAAGAATGTAACACAAAATAGTTAATTGTTACCCTTTAAATAACATTTTTGTAGGAAGAATATTTTCTTATTTCAATGAAAAATCCTTGCAGGGTCATTGGGACCCTTGGATGTTATCTAAGATGCTTGGGTGCTTCACTTCCTCCACGATCCTCGCAGAAGTACATGCATTAGTGGTGATGATTTGTTTGATTATATCTTTAATTTCTGTTTTGAGTTCTCACTCATTGTGATCCTTGGGCAGGAGAACCATTTCATACAGTGTCAGCTTGGGGACATTGAGGTCCTTACAATGCAAGTGTGTTGGTTTCTGGTTCATAGATGCAAGGGTCAATGTTTATTTGTTATTCCTTTTCTGCTATGCAAATGTTTTTTACACCCGTATGACGGGTTATATTTGTACTTTTGTACACCAATAAAAATCATATGCTGAAAAAAAAAAATCCTTGCAACATATAATTCAGGATCTGAAATTCCAGATAATCCAAGGCACAGCAAAAAATTATAATATGCAAAATATACCACCTTACAAAAAATAAGCTAGAATTAAAATTTTAACCTTTGGTTTTATAATTTATACTTGCAGTATTTATGCAGTACTGTAGCTAATAACACGCATTGGCATGTATAAGCATATTAAAAAGGGAAATGTGTAAAGCAAAAGCAAGTAAACAAATCATTGCTACTTTTATAAGATATTCCTAATTCTTTAATTTCTCAAAGGCTTTTCCCAAATCTCATATCAATTAAACAACACTTACAACCACTAGGTTCCCATAAGACATCTTTACATTTGCTGAATTGCTTACAAAGTAAAATATTCCCTATGTGCTTTATTAGTTTAACAGAATGTAATACTATCATAGACCATGTTAACACTCTACATATCTTAAAGTGACACTAAACTCAGGAGTTAAATCTTAAAAATGCATTCAATTACCCTAACTATCAACAACAATGTGTCTTATTTGTGTAACACTGGTGCTGACACTGTCCTTCCTTCTGGAGGGTGGCTACTTTTGTTCCCCATGGTCCTTGTGTGTTGTAAGGTAGCCACAGCTCCAAGCTCACTCCCGTGATGGACTACAATCTCCATACAAATTAGTAAACTAAACATAAGGTTAATAGTTAATGTACTGGAATGCATTTTTAGGATTTAACCCCCAAGTTTATTGTCACTTTAAGAATAATTTAGAAAAAATGCACCACATAGGTGCACTGTGGTGGTTTATGGAACCACCACAGTGTTCAGGAACAGCTATAATGAAAGAACATATTTGGCTGCTGGATTGGGATTCTTTTTTTTGCTTTTACAATTAACTTTTCTTACAGAAAGCAGCAGTACGCTAATTATTATTATTATTTAATCCATTTCAGTTAAAGTTTTGCATTTGATAATTTGAATAGCAAAATGTTTTTTTCTTAACCACTCGAAGACAGGGTGTTAAACCTCCTTCCTGTCCAGGCCATTTTTTAGTATTCATCACTGAAGTATTTTGACTGACATTTATTCAGTCATGCAACACTGTACTGAAATTAATTGTATATCTTTTTTTGAAACAGATAGAACTTTAAGTGTTTTCCCTACATTATGTTATGAAATATTTATTATTACCCAATTTTTTTTGTAAAATAAAAAAGATGGGGTCACGTCGGGTACATAGACACCAAACATGTCAAGCCCTAACATTTTGTGCAACCACAAAATCGTAAAAAGCTACCCAAAATATGCCATAGGCATCGCTTTGGAAGCTTTTACCACTCAATAATTTAGTGTTAACAGTGATTGATGGCTCTAAAATTATTGCTCGCACTGCAAAATGTATGGTGATATGTAACATGTGTAATGCAATTATAATTTTCACGTGTAGGCACGCCTGATGCTTGTTTGCAGTTGCATGGGCGTGTTTGTGGGGGTGGGGGACTTTAAAAAAAGGATTTTTTATATTCTTATGCATTTTTTATATGTGACTTTAATATTTTTAATTTTTGTTACCACATAACTTTATTGCTATCACATAGTTACATAGTTACATAGTATTTGAGGTCGAATAAAGACATTAGTCCATCAAGTCCAACCTATTAGGATCTCATTCTAGGAGTACCTGTACCCCTGTATATTACGGTCCCTTAAGAAATCGTCCAAAAGTTTCTTGAACAATTCCACATTCTTTGCTGAAATCACCGCCTGTGGCAGTGAGTTCCAGACCCTAACTGATCTTACTGTGAAGAACCCTCTTTGCCCCTTGTGCTGGAATTTTTTTCCACCAATTTTAGGTGGTGGCCTCTAGTTTTTGTAATGGAGTTAATTTTAAACAGTTTATTGCTAATGTTGCTGCCACCATTGAACATTTTGTACATGGAGATCATATCCCCCCTTAATCTCCTCACCTCCAATGTGAACATGTTTAAATTTAGTAGCCTTGTCTCGTAGCTCTGGTCCTCCATACCCCTAATTAGTTTGGTTGCCCTCCGCTGGACTTTTTCCAACTCAAGGACATCTTTTCTTAGTACTGGTGACCAGAACTGGACCGCGTACTCCAGATGAGGTCGAACCAATGATCTATAAAGTGGCAAAATTATAGACTTGTCCCTGCAATACATCCCCTTTTTAATACAGGACAAGACCCTGCTAGCTTTGTTTACAGCAGCCTGGCACTGCAAACTACCTTTCAGTTTGTGGTCTACAATGACCCCCAAATCCTTCTCCATTTCTGACTTCCCCAGCGGCATACCCATAATTGTATAACCCATTTGTTTATTTTTAATTCCAAAGTGCATTACTTTGCATTTATCGACATTAAACCTCATCTGCCACATTAATGCCCACTCCCCTATTTTATCCAGGTCCTCCTGTAATGTTATAATGTCTAAGTCCGTGTCTATTACCCTCCCAATTTTGGTGTCATCCGCAAACACGGAAATATCGCTGTTAACACCCTCCCCGATGTCATTAATAAATAAGTTGAACAATATGGGACCCAGCACAGAACCCTGAGGCACACCGCTCATTACACTAGCCCAGTCTGAAAAGGTGCCATTTACAGATACTGTGACGCTCGTATCTCCTCGCGACCGGGATCCGTCCACGCTACTGCGCAGGAGCGCCGCGTGGCTCCGCCCACTCTCGGACGCGGTCCGTCTCCGCTACTGCGCAGGCGCGCCTCGTGACTCCGGCATAAAGCCGCGGTCCACTGATTGATCAGCGTCCTACTATTGTTGAAGCAGGACGCTGATCAATCCAGCCTCCCCTTGCTCCACTCCAGGAACCAACCTTTTCGAGGAACTAAGCAGAACCTAACTCTCCCACACCGGGGAGATTCCACAATTCGCAAGTACCCTGACTATAGCTGTATGGCTATACCTGTTGAACTGCTATTGATTCACAGTGAAACTGCATATCTCTCATATGACCATTTGAACTGCTATTGATTCAAAGTGAACTGCATATATCTCATATGACAAATTGAACTGCTATTGATTCAAAGTGAACTGCATATATATCATATGACCATTTGAACTGCTATTGTTCCAAAGTGAACTGCATATATATCATATGACCATTTGAACTGCTATTGTTCCAAAGTGAACTGCATATATATCATATGACCATTTGAACTGCTATTGTTCCAAAGTGAACTGCATATATATCATATGACCATTTGAACTGCTGTTGATTCAAAGTGAACTGCATATCATTCGCATGACCTATTAAACTACCTATTCCTAAGTACGCTGCATACTGTTCGTATTACCTCCTGTACTGAGTAGTGAGTGCTATATCTGCATAAATTAGGAACATTATACTCACCTAGTCCAAACCATTTGATTTCCTAACCGATTTACCCATACCTACCTTGTTGTCACTATACAGGGTTTGACGTGCTGCCATACGGGGTGTGATGTGAAGCAGCTCTCTCCTCACCTTATTCACATACTGGGCATAAGAGGTAGTGCTGCGATCTGATACCCGTCCTTAAAGAACAGAAGCCTTGTCCGCAGCTGCGGTCCAAAGAGCTACTACCCCCAGGGGCAAGTTGTTACAGATACCCTCTGGACCCGTTCCCGTAGCCAGTTCTCTATCCACTTACACACCACCTCATCTATGCCCATAGCTCTCAGCTTGTGTAGCAAGCGTTTGTGTGGTACCGTATCAAAAGCCTTTGAGAAATCCAGATATACCACATCTACCGGCTTACCTCCGTCCATATCTCTACTTACCCCCTCATAAAAAGTTAGCAAGTTAGTTAGGCAGGAACGATCTTTCCTGAACCCATGCTGATTGTCATTAACTATCCCGTTTTCCTGAACAAATTCTACCAGATAATCCTTTATTATGCCCTCTAGCATTTTACAAACTACCGATGTTAGACTGACCGGCCTATAGTTCCCAGGTTGGCACCTAGCCCCCTTTTTGAATATTGGGACTACCGTAGCCCTCCGCCAATCACTGGGGATCCTACCAGTCATTAAGGAGTCCTTAAAAATGAGGATTAATGGTCTAGTTATAACCTGGCTTCATTCCTTAAGTACCTTGGGGTGCAGGTTATCCGGACCCACTGCTTTGTTTGCATTGAGCATTTTAAGTCTTTGTTGTATCCATGTTTCGTACATCCACAGGGGTATATTTTGAGTTAAACTTGGAGTAAAATCACATGAGGTTAATAATAGCACATACTTCACTTTGGCTGGGTCATTCACTTGGCTGCCTTCGGCAGCTTTGTGAATAACACCCCTAGTGTTGCATTCATGAAAGTGTAGTAGAACAGCAGGTCACAAATTTGCTGCAAGTATAGTCATTGGTCGCTAAACATG